GGGGGGGGGAAGAAACTTCATAAGTTTATGTATAAGGGGGGGGTCGTACCGAACCCCCAAAAAAAAGGGGGGGGGTCGTACGGGCTCGACCAAAATCCCCAACTAATGCTGTGCCCTGCTCAAGAGACTGTATGTTGAGCACAGTAAGGGAGGAGTGTAGGCCTTCAGATAATGGGCGCCCATATAAGGGCAATCCCCCAAAGAACCCTTTTTAGCGTGAGAGAGGAATGCTTTTGACGACTCCCTGAGAGCCTGTTTGTACTTGTCAACCTTGCACTTCCTTGATGAACCGGTTGTAACTGGTATTTGTTATCGTTTTAATGGATCAGATTGTTGTTTTCTTTATATATGATAAGACTGAGTCAGTCTTTTCAATTTTTCGTTGCACGGTTGGTCACGCACACCACACTATTGAAGGAGCACGATTACAAGGGCCGAACCGCTCCAACAGAGATCGTGCTTTGTGAGGTTGACTGTGGTTTGACTGATAGCCGCTGATTAGAGCGGAGTCTTCTGTTGCTGGAGGAAGGGGCAGCAGAAGTTTGACTGTGATTCTCCTGATCGTGATCCTTGATTGCTTCGCAACATCTCCGTTCATTTCAAGTGGTAAGTTGGATATATCATAAATAAATGATTCTCTAACTTTGCTAAAGCTCTATAAAGCATATGTCATCCCATACTAGAATACGGTTCTCAGATATGGAGTCCTTACACCAAAAAACTTCAGGCAAAAGTTGAAAAAGTTCAACTTTCACCAGAATTCTGAATGTACCGATGTTATCCCAGCCCGTTATATCCACGTGGTTTACCCAGCTATAGAGAGCGCTTACAGCTTTTCAACCTAAAGTCATTACTATATAGAAAGGTGTTTAATGACATTTTGTTCTGCTTCAAGTTACTCAAAGGAGAGCTAAGATTGAAGCCTAGTAAGTACTGGGTAATTAGGCCAAGCAGGTGCCTTTCCTGTTCGCTGTCCCTACAACGCCCGAAATGGAGCAACAGCTATCGATCTATGATATCTAAGTCACTATCTTTCCGTGGAGCGAGATGGCTTCAGTCACTGCCATCAGTCCTATAGAAGGCTCCTAATACCAACGTGTCTGAAAAGAAATTGAAGGAAGTTGACCTAC